ACCTGAAGCATTAATACGTTCAAATAACATATTTTCACTGCAAGACGAATGAATACTATTTGAGTCTTGTTGTTTCACAGCAATGCAATCATCATCATTCCAAATATTGCAATCATGAATCCAGACGTTCTTTCCAGAGACATCAAATCCATCTGTATTAAAAGCAGTTAATTCATATAGATCGTGCCAATGAATGTCTGGATTTCTGTGTGTATCTATATCAGTGTAACGAATTTCTAAGTTGGCAACATCCTTACCATAAAATGTCCATTTAGGAGAATTTTTCAATAGTAGATTTTCGATCAAGAGATTGGTGGAATTATAGATCCATAGTAATAGCGGCCGATTTCCACGAATGATCACGTACTGAATCACACCCCACCACAAGTGACCTGAACCATCAATGATTCCTTTGTTAGGTGAAGATTGTGAACTCGTAAAAGTTACATGATCCAATTGTTCAAAGTAGAAGCAATTAAGAACTTGATTCGTGTGAGGGTCCCGTGGCCATTCGAATATATTATCAGAAAATTTGAGAATACCATCAATCTGAATGGTTACATAGGAGAGGCCACGAGCATAGAGGCCACCCATCAACCAAAACGTTCGATTTGCTGGTATGAGTAGAATATCGCCACTTCGCAACGATCCAAGAGTTTGATTGAGGAGAAATGTATTTGCCCAACAGGTAGATAATGAATTATTTTCAGCAATGCCTCCAATCACCTCAAAGTCAATCAGCTGATCATTCCATGTATTAACATTTACATGAGAATAAACAGTTCTAGCAGCAACGATAGCGACAATCGCGAGAGAACGAATAACTAGCGCAAAAAAGATAGAGAACATAGTTTTATTTGATGCAAGTAAATTGAGAAAATATAATGAAAGAACTACTCAACACATTAGTCGTGTAACTATCAAAGAAAAAGATAAGAATTGATATATTGTTATCTCGTTCTCGTCAGCGAAGAGAATGATTTTCAAATAATAAAAACGCCTGCAGTTACCTTTCAAAATGATGACCGCGTGTGTAGGACGAGCAGGCAAGAAGTAAATACAAGAATATGCAAAAAAGTTTGGCCTAATAGCTTCCAGTACTACTGTCGTATGATAAAATAATTTCGGTTGGTTCGAGCAAAGCTCGATAAGCTACAACAAACACTATGCACACACTTCTTTCAGTATTATTTTCGTCTACATCCAAGATTCGAAATGCACAGAAGGCGACCCTTTTTTGTACTTATTCCCAATAGAGTTTTAGTCTAAAGTCACACATGTTTTTCGTAGTGAAAAGAAGATGAATACGAGAAAAAAAACATCAAGAAACAGGGTCTCAATATCAATAGATCTTACCATCACTCAACTAGTCAGTGGTTACTTTTGAGTTCTAATATTATATGAGTTTTAGCCTTTGCAAATTGTTCGCAAACGTGGTGTACTATAAAAATGATCTATTCCAATCTTGACAAAAGTCTTTCGTAAAATATGAATGCTAGTCTGAGGGTTCTACAGACATACGACTTGTATCAGTATCTACTCTTTTATAAGAGCGAGATAGTCTAGTTGAATGGTGGATCATTATTAAACCCAAAGACTCTATACAGAGCTATAAGTACTATAAGTTTTCTCTTTATAATATGGATTTGTGAAGCAGTAGCAGAGTGTGAGTGTCGATGTGAATGTAGAAGAATAGAAGATCCACATCTATATTTGCACACTATATCCACACCGTCAACAGCAAGAACGTTCCTTTCGCGCTTATACTTCACTGTACTTTGGTCGTACGTCACATTTTGTTTAAAGTAGATGAAGTCTCGATTTTTCTCTCTTGAGTTGTTCACATTTCTTTGGCTCAGATGTTTGGTTGACTCTCTAGGATCCCTTAGACCTCGTTACAAATCACGGTCAATATACAGGGAGGTCGTGGTACACTAATAAAGAGCAACGTCGTTATGTTTCAAATTATAATATTGAAGGGATTATTCTAAAAGCTTTTATTGCACTGTACTTGTGGATCAACCCAATCGAATTCATGTGAATTGTCACAAAACTCCGTGCAGTTCAACATAATTTTGGGCATGAGAAATAGTCTATAGACACTGTTAACCGTATATGCGGTTTGTTTACACGATCAAAGATACAAGAACGGTATGAAGGTGAAGTTTATTTGGTTTATAATACGTAATGCATATACATTGCTGTCAAGTATGAATTTATTTCTTTATCTTCTTTTATAATTATCAAATTCGGTTGGATTCCGTGAAGTGATTGGTCGCTATGATTCCATTCGTCGTAAGTTGCGAATGGTAAAAAGCAATCTAAGCTTTTTCATCGTGCTTTGGTATGTGAAGCCAATGATAAAGGGCAATAGCAGGGGGGACTCCATATGATCAGTAAGTAAAAGTAGCCAAATACAACTAATATGGAATTGGCATGGATAATCCTACAATCTGTGCAAGAAGATTCAGTGAAAATGGTGTATTAAAGACAAGATAAACGGCAGTGATGGACAATAGTTGTATGATCATGCTTAGATACTTTTGCCATTCGGTTGGTGGCCGTAATCGACGTCAAGAAAGTATAACTCGTATTAACAGCACAGTATTGCAGAAAGAAATGATAAACGTGGGAACAACTTGATGGACGATCATTTCAATATCGTATACGATAGTTGTTGATTAACTTCTTATAGCAAACATTGCCACAATAGGTCAATGAAAAATCAAATTCGTTGCCACAAGGATAGAAAGAGACGATAAAAATATAGTAAAATGCTGCACATAGATAAATGAAAACTATCGGTAGATAGTGAAAATAAATTCTTGCTCGTTTTGTATTGAATAATCACGGTCATTTAGAATCGCTGGACTTTTAGCTTCAAAATTTTCTATTTCTTCTTTTTAGATAGCGTTTTATTTTTGAGAAAACTTTATTCTTCTCGATATTGATGTCAAAAGCATACAAAATTGTTAAAATTGTGTTCATATTTGGAAGCTTTTCTCATTATAATCTATTCCGATAGCGAAATGAATAGTATACTCGAAAAGAGCGCAAAACACAACGTCGAAAAATATAAAATTTTGAAAGTCCCGTTTTTCACGAACGAATTCACTTATGGTTTTGACCGAATGCTAAGGCGTGTGTCAATTGTATATTTTGGCATTTTGTATAGGAAAGTCAGAAAGAGATGAAATTTTGGATTTAAAGATTTCTAATGATAGTGTTTCGTTTGCGATAATTAAACCGAAAATCAAAATTTTAATGGCGGTCGACTTCATTCAAAGTTGGTAAATCCTTTCACGAACTCTCTCTATAAAACTGTTTTCACTTTTATAACAAATAGTTAAATAGAATAAAAAAGAAAACTAAAATTATTAATAATCACTATTATCTCATAACCATCATTAGTTAATTTATCTTTACATTGATCTCTTTTTCTTTTCTCTTCATCATTGATTCAAGTCGATTTACAACTTCATCAGTATATATTATTAAACTATCATGTAATTTTCTTGCTTATTGATGCAAATCGTTTTTATTTCCTTTCTTTTATTATCTACGAAAGAAAAATAATCTTTGAATAAATGAAAACGAATTCGAGGATGTGGCATATAGGTAGTAGGATCTTCTTATCCCTCAAAACCACACCCTTTATATAAAAATTCAAAGCTGAGATGAACATTGTATAGTATTAATCTGTGATATATTCTATTCTTATCGGAATTTATTATTGTAAAGACTTTTATGTTCGTATAGAGAATCATCATTATACTGAATTGTATTATTTAAAAGTATTTTTATCAGCAATATGATAGCGACATCATTTTTACCTATGTAGAATTTAAGATCAGTTACTAACCAATCGATAGTTATGTCATTCATTTTTTCGGTGGCCAAACAGAATTACTCATCTGTTCTTTTTTTTGTGAAGAACAAATTAAGTTCTGCCCTTTTTTATTATTTTTTTGTGCTCAAGTGGTAAAATACTTGCTAGTTGTGAGTTATATGTTATAATATCATTATATTAAGTATTTGTTTTTCTGAATCCCCGATAAGAAAAAAAACCTAGCGGATAAATCATTTTTATTATGATTGACTATATTTGATATTCTGCGCAAGTAAGGTTAAAAATCAATGAAACTATATTTGAAATTTTTTTCAATAATAGTTTCGTTTGTCTATTATGATGAATGACTACAGTTGATATTCTCTTTGGATCATTTTTTTAGACTTTATTTTTGTCTCATTTAGTTTGTTGTTGACATTTATCATTAGTTGGAAAGGTAGAAAATATGAATCTACTCAATTATTCTTCGATATTTTATCATTCTATGATATTGTCTGTTCGAATGTCAAAGAAGGGAAATTGTATGAAATTATGTTTCGAGATGAATCATCTTTTACTTTGTTACGAATACTTTTGAAAATTTGTTTTTCTTCTGATTATTATCAACTTTTTATTTTTATCTCAAATCATAGAAAAGTAGTATTTAACATTGAGACAATCAAATTGTTAGAGCAAAGAAATATTTGTATGTTAATTTTTTTTTAGAGATATTTCATTTCAATGAGATCATTCTCAATGAAATCTTGATTTTGCTTAAAATGATTTTCCTATGTTTAAAAGAACAAAAGATGGAGGTAGAAAAATTTGATTTAATCAAAGAAAAAAGAAAAAGACATTTTTGTTTCTTTTTCTTCTCTACCATTTTACCTTGACAAGGTGGACCACCAATCGAATGTGCGGTCGTCTCATTGTATAGAAGGATGGAAAGAACGAAACACAGCGAGCAAGAAAAATGAAGAAAAAAAAATAAATAAAAAAGAACATATATGCTAAACGACATGATATTATTGTTCTCACCACTATACTGAGTTCACTGTATAATATAAAAAGTTCACAAAAAACAAAAATTATTTTAGGATTTATTTTCAGATGTTATTGTAAACATTTATAATATAATAATTCAAGAGTAAGAGGAAAAAAAAACGGACTTATGACTTTATTAAATTTTGTATATACCCTTTTTTTACTTTCTTTTGTACATTCAAGTAAGTTCAATAGATCTTCTTTTGAATTTTTATTTAAAATTTTTGTTTTTAGTTCCAATGCCTCCAACAATATTAACTGAACCCGATCCTGAAGTTATATTTGATCCACGTGTTAATATTGAACTTCCATGTATAGGAAAAGGAAATCCAGCTCCAATTTATACATGGACAAAAGATGGTCGTTTTTATGAACCAAGTGCACAAAATAATCGTGTTGCTATGGGTAGTGATTCAGGTACACTTATTTTTACTCAAGCACAACCTATTGATCAAGGATGGTATCAATGTAATGCAACAAATATGTGGGGTAAAGAAGAAGAAAAAAAAAAATTCAATTGGAATATTTAATTTTTTGTTTTGGACGTTTTTTTTTTCTTCTTTTTTTAGGTACTGCAGTATCACGTAAAGTTCGTGTACGTCTTGCTGAACTTGGTGCTTTTCCGATTTATGATAAACCACAAGTAATTCAAGTACGACGTGGTGATTCATTAAAAATTCCATGTAAACCACCAACTGGTGTACCTGATCCAGAAACTTATTGGACAGATAATACAAATACAGGCGATCAATTCGGTTTTCTTGTATCAAATCCTCGAATTCAACAAGATTATTATGGTTCATTAAATTTATTTTAAAATCTTTTTTTTATTGAATTTTTTTTTTGTTTTTGTTTTACAGGAAATCTTTACTTTTTAAATGTAAAAGATGAAGATGAACAAAAACAATTTATTTGTAATGTTTTTTCACGTAAATTAAATGTTATTCGTCGTGGTGCATTAACACAAATTCAAGTAATTAAATCCGATCCAAATAATCGTCGTCCAATGAAATTATGGACATCTGAAGCTAATAAAGTTTTTTTAAAAGGTTATAAATTAACATTAAAATGTATTTTTGGTGGTTTACCAACACCTGGTGTTATATGGAGAAAAATTAATGGTACAATACCTGAAAGACGTGCAACTGTTAATATGGAAAAACAAGAATTAGTTATTAGTGATCTTCATTTTGAAGATGCAGGATTATATGAATGTCGAGGACATAATGGTATAAAATAAATTTAATTAAATATTTTCTTTTACTTTACTTTTTATTTTAGAATTGGGTAATGATTTATTTAGTATTAATGTTCGAATTGAAGCTGATCCATATTGGATAGTAAAACCAAAAGATATTCATGTAACAGAAGGAGAAACAGTCGATTTTATTTGTGATGCAGAATCTAAACCACCACCAAATAATATTCAATGGTTTATTAATGGTTATCCATTACAAGATCCAAGTGTACGACGTAATCCACGTCGACGTGTTGTTAAAAATCGAATGATTATACAAAATGTTACAAAATTAGATACGGCTGTTTATCAATGTAACGTTACAAATATTCATGGTTATGTTTTTGCAAATTTTTTTGTTAATGTTATTTGTAAGTAATTGGATTTTATGCATTATTCTCAAATGAAATAGAATTTTTCATAAAATTTATTCCTTTAAAAACACGATCGATAAAGAAGTGCTGAAGTATATAGAATAGAAATTTGTACCTACTCTCAGGATCCTCTCTGCTCACAAACGTTGTTGATATATGATCACAGATTGTATATCAACAACGGTTTCTTACTACATTCTTATTGTATTTCTGGCGAGTTAAGTAAAAGGAGAGTGAAGACATGTACTCCAATATAGATAGAATAACACAATCTTTCTATGAATAGCAACAACAGCTACATCGTGTTTTACATTTTAGTCCTGCAAGGATTGTGTTAACAGTTTTTTTCATAATATTTATTCTTTAAATGTAAATAGGAATATATGGACTATTATCAGTCTCAGAAGTGAAGGCATTTGGTTGTTTTTTGAATAGCTTTTGAGAGGAAGAAGATAGAGACCTGCAATTTTCAGCGTTTGATAGTCAAGACTCAGAAGCATATTTTCATTAGCAAAATCTTTTTTAAAAAAAAAAAAGTCCGAAAACTAGTTTTTCAGAGAATCTTTGTAAAACTACGCTAGATTTCTGAAAACTGTCATAATAGTCTGTTGTTTTTTTTTACATATTCGGAATGAGCATCGAAAATTGAGTCGACTCATGTATGTTTCAACTTTTTTTTTCATTGAAAAGTTCATCCCTAATCCCCTGAGGAGTAGGTCAAAAAAGTCACTTGGACAGTGGAAAGCAAGTTCAGAGCTTGTAAAATGCTAGTGGAAAATAAAATGACAAATGACAAAACAATAAAAACAGCGTTTTGACTGAGCTAATTTTTTGATTTACCTTCAGCGGAACTAGGGATCAGCTTTTTCAAGAAAACAAAAACAAATTTGTGAAAAGATTCTAAACATACATGAGTCGACTCAGTTTTCGATGTTCATTTCGAATATGTAGAAAAATCAATAGACTATTATGGCAGTTTTCAGAAATTTTCTGAAAAACTAGTGTTTGGACTTTTTTTTTGCAGAAAAGATTTTACCTATGAAAGTATGCTTCTGGATCTTGGCTATCGAACGCTGAAAACCGCAGATCTCTATCTTCTTCCTATCAAAAGTTATTCAAAAAACAACCGAGTGCCTTGACTTCTGGAACTAATAATAGTTAATTTTTTGTTGTAAGCTAGTTTAATTATGCTTGTATATGTGGCTATCTAATTATTTATTCTGAAAGATTTTTTTTGCGAATAAAGTGAATAACAGAGGAGCGAAACTAAGACGAGTATTTCGAAAATAGTAAAAATTAGTGACGTGTGATTTACACCAATTGAAAGAGGAGACATCGAGACACTTTGGTTTTATTCGATAGTTTCCGAGATGAAATACTTTTCGATCCAATCAATCATTGGCATCGATAGGTCAAGACATGATTCGAATGATTATCTTCTCAAACTTTTATGTTGAGGAAATAATACTGAGTATCTGCTCGATTTCTTATCTATTATCCAGATTCCATTGGAGCGATATATCACTTTTATCAATTTTAAAAAAAAAAGTTTTTTGAAAACGATTTCATGTCGTATATAATCGGATGAAAAAGACGTCCAGGTGTGTTACCTTTTGATTGCAAAAAAACTACCGTTCTCGAGCTATCACACTCGTCTTTTATTCTAATCTCAACATTAATTAATAATAGCATTCATAGCTATTTATTTATTAGAATAGATTTGTTAAGAGTAATATATTACAAATTTAAATAAATCACTATATCATATAAGATACTACTTCAATTATATTGAACTGAGTTTTAAAAAGTTCAAATTTTGTGTATAGATGAGAAATAAAAATAATCTTATATTGAGCAGGATATAATCAGAAGAGTTTTTTTTGCTTCGAATATTTATTTAAATTTTGATAGTACTATTTAAAAATAAATATATGAATAATATTAAGCTAGTTAAGCGTACTATATATTTCTTAAACTGTATTTTTCATTTTTTATCAACTAAAATTTTGTTGATTGATTTTATGTTATATATCCAACTTCCAAATTGTAGTATTAGATGACTAAAAAATCGACTCTTTTATCATTGATAAAGCAATATTCATCAGAAAAATGTCAAAAAAAAATAAATACTGCTATGCAGTATTATCGTTGATCTGAATAAAAAGAAAAAATAGTGACCGTGAATCAGATAAGGAAGGTGATATGGCAGTTTTCCAATAGCGTCTGAGCTTTTTGATGAGAGAAAAAAAATATATTATTTTTATAATTTATTAACAATTAGAATTCTTTTTTGAAGCCAATGATCACACTTCAAATCATTATCTATTTAACAAGAAATCTATGATTATTGTTTGAATTAAGCTGCTATTTTATTTCTCTGAATATTTTTGAGCGTCTTCGTGTCTTTCTGGTATATAACTACATAAAGTCAAGTGTTTTTTTTTGTGAAATTTACTGTACTACGAAAAAATATTGTAGAAAATTGAAAGAAGCAACTTCACATAAAAGGTTCTATCGAAGAAGTTCATAATTTCAGGAGATTGTATTCATATCTCTAGATTTAACCAGGAATAAGTATCTATTACAGGTTTAAAACAGAAAAATAATAGTTTTCAAAGATCAATGTTGATAAGTTATGGCTGATAATACATTGAATTTTTATAAATCAAATTGCTACGGCAATATTCTCAATTGTCTAATCGCTTATTCCTTGAGACTATTGCCATTCGATCGATCATGATGAATAGTAAGCAGATCTGTTTTGGTTTAGTTTTTCGATCTTCACTTATCAAATTACGGTTGATTTACCCGATTATTTTGCATATCGGCATAGGGTTGCTGAGAACCTTCATAATCACATTTCGAGCTGAAATTTGCTCTACAAATAATTTGAGCTGTTTGAAAGGGAAGGGCATTTTCCTATGAGAAGTATTAGTGCTGAAATTAAAATAAAAAAAAGTATTTACAAATATGTACATATACAATAAAATTTATCGATGTTCATAAAGATTTTCTAATATTTTTATCTTCTAGCGGAAAAACCAGAAATTCAACGTGGGCCAGATCCATTACTTCGAGCTGTTGAAGGACAAAATGTTATTCTACCATGTGAAACATTTGGTGCTCCAATGCCAAAAGTTTATTGGAGCAAACGTGATCAAGTTATAACTGGTGGGAGGTAAATCATAAATTTTCTTTTTTTCCATTATCTCTTAAAATATCTATCAATGCGTGTATCTCTCTTTCTCTATATATATATATATCTCTTCCCTAGCCTTTAAATCGGTATGAAAACAAAAAAAAAATCTATGCTTGAATATGTATTTATAACAGCATGAGTGTTTTTTATAAAAAAAAAAGTATTGTTTTATCTCGTTTACAGCATGTGTGCTTCGTATGAGTTTCAATTGTTGATACTTATTAAATAAGTTTTCTTTTTTTTTTTCTATTGAAAAATTATTAGGTATACGATATTAGAAGATGGAAGTTTAATGATACGTGAAGCATCAGCAGCCGATAGTGGTGTATATATATGTAATGCAACAAATAAATTTGGTTCGGACATACGTAGTGGAACATTAAATGTTAAACGAAAAACTCGTATACAAACACGTCCAGGAAATCAAGAAGTACGTCGCGGTTATTATGCTATATTTCGTTGTACAGCTGTTGCTGATACATCATTAACATATGATATTGATTGGTATAAAGATGGACGTTTACTTGCTTATACAGGTTAATATAATCTATTTTGTTTTCATCTTAATCAAATTCTTTTTTTTTTCTGTTTTGTTTAGGTCGTTTTATAAAAGATATTGCTGATCAAAATACATTAAAAATTGTTGATGTACAATTTGATGATGGTGGTTCATATGTATGTCGTGCAAGTACAGAACTTGATTTTGATGATGCAAGTGCAACATTAGTTGTACAAGATCGACCAAATAGACCAAAAATAACAAAAGTTAATTGTAGTGGTTCAACACAAAATGCATTTGGACAACCATTTGCTATTGTTCAATGGGAAGCAACAGGTTATTATTTTACACAAAGCAGGAAGTTCGATAAACGATGAAATCGGCTTTCGTCTCTAGACTGTGTTTCCAATTCTCAAAATAGTCAATACGGATGTCAGGAGTCGGTTACTGTTTGAATTAATCACTTAGCTCTCATTATCTATCCTTGAGATGATCATGATATGCAGTTGTCATACGAAAAGTTTTTCTAATTTAACATTAAGACCAAATGAAAGCTCATTCTTTCCGCTATCGAACAGTATATAGGGGTGTGATAAAATATTCTTTTTTCTTTAAAGTGGCACTTTTCACTCGTACTTTTATATGATACGAGGGTATCCATGACAAAATTTTATTCTCATGTTGCTGTGAGAGCAGGCATTCAATTTGAATTATATACTATTCAATAACCCTTTTGAAAGTCTATAAAATTATAAAATTCTACTATAACATCAGGCTTAATTGGTGAGCAAGACACTTCACTCAAACCCACAATGTTCGAGAGTCCTACAAGTTGCTCTTTGTGATAGATATTTGATCAATATTAGTCGGAATAGTTAGAATTCCTATCAGAATAAATGATATATTTGAAATCAGCATCAAAAGCAGAGTCCATCTATATATGTCGCAAAGTGATCCATCAAGTTTTATTTTCCTTCAAATATTCAACCCCATGGTCTTTCTCAAGGTTACGTCGAAAAAAATGAATCACTAATAATAACGACGTTTTGACTTAATCCTAAAGGAAACCACGGGTAAATTTTTCTGCATTTGTTTTGGTAAGAAGTTTGATTATTGTAGCTGATATTCGTCAACTATCAGTTAAAAAGGGCAAATTTTTTTAATACTCATGACCATTGTGCGTTTGACTAAAAAGTCTTGTCCACAAATTAAGGCCCACGCAACAGTATGATTTTGTACAGTTTTGGAAAGCCTTATACTGTATATACGAACCAAGAGAGTTATCTAAAAGAAAAAGCGAAAGAACACTATTTTGTCATAGTTGTTCTATACCATTTGATAGAGGAAAGAAAGAACTTTCATTTTATCTATGAGTCAAATTAAAGAAGATGAAGAAAGGAAATAAAACTTCATGTAAACACTTCATAGTATAATGCTATGGAAGATCGATAGTATTGAGTTTTGAGTCAGCCTCGCATATGTATATATATATATTAAATTTTGGGAAGAGGTCGATTTTATCGTTTAACGACCCATGATCTTTTGAAACAAAAAGAAAAAAGAAATTTAATTTTAATTCAGGTGATAATAATGCACGAATACTTTATTATGAAATACAATATAATACATCATTTCAACAAAATGATTGGATATCTGTACCAGTTGAACGACGTCGAGAAACTTATACAGAAATTAAATCACAAGATGGTTCAGTTAAATTAGAACCAAATACGATAAGTAATTCATTTTTAGAAGAAAACAAAAAATGTCATCAAAATATAAAACAATCTTTATTTATTTTTTTTATTCTAGTTTATCGTACAACACGTCTTCCATCAAATCAATATGATTTACGTGTAACACTATCATGTTGGGCTAATTATACATTTCGTGTTATTGCTTATAATCGTATCGGTGCTAGTGATCCAAGTGCAATATCAGAATCTATGTGTTCGACAACAACATGTCGACCTAGATCAAATCCTGTTGGTGTTAAAGCATATACAACACCATTCATACCATTACTTATCGAATGGGATGTAAGAAAAAACAATTTTTTTTTTGTCTCATTCATTTGAATTTATCATTATTTAAATAAATAGAGTATGCCACCAATAAAATGGAATGCACCAAAATTTTGGTATGAAGTTGGTTGGCGTCCATTTGTGCCAGGCCCTAATCCAGAGCCATTCATGACTGAACGCGTTTATCCACCACAAAATCGATTTGCTATACCAAATCCAGTTCTTAATATGCGTTATCAATATTATGTTAAAGCAGTTAATCAACAACCAGGAGGTATATTTAAACTTGATAATCCTTTTTTTCATGATTTCATCCTTTCTTTTTACGAAAAAATTAAGGGAACCCACTTTCCTGTCTAGGATTTCTCGGGAACGGTCCATCGAAAAATGATGAAACGTTCAAGGCAGATAGATCTCGATAAATAGAGTAAAAGTTGTCATAGACTCAAAACTCGCCAGAAGACTCCCCGCAAAATTTGATACTCCATTGTCCAGAGCTGCAATTTATTTGTGACAACTAGGATCAAATAGGAGTGCGTATTCCTTTTTCTTTCAAAAAATATCGTTCCTAGAGCTCAGGAGAAGCAAAATACTAGAAGACACCATGAAAAAACGTGTTTAGTTTGAGTCCGATCGAGCATACCACGCCGAAGGAGCAGGGAACTACGATCCTTCTAGGCCTGGACCTGACCGGGTCTGAGCCCATAATTTTATTTTTTTCCGCATCCAGGTTCAACCTTTTATTTTTCGTTGGACTCGGTTACACGTTTTTGTGGATCCGCTGCTCTCCAGATGAGAAATACAGCAACAAGATGTCACTGTACGTTGAGTTTTTTTTGCGAGTAGCGAATAAATAGCTAGAACCTTGATCCTTCACTTGGTCATGTACACGAAGAGTGCCAGGTAGTGATGGAAAAACCTTGGATTTGGATACGACCAGATTCGTGTCCAAATTTTAAACGTTGTTCGGATCTGGATTCACAAAAAAGTGGACCCACAGCTCCGTATGGAGGAGAGTTCGTTTTATTTGTTCAAAAATTGATTTTGAGAAAAACGCAAAACAAACTTTCGTTCTCCAACTAAAGTGACCAAAAATTGGCTGTGTTCAGTGACGTTTGAGATTCATAAGCCATGCTCTCAACATCTTTAGAAATTATAATTAGGAGAATTTTGAAGACAAAGAATAATCGTTTCTGCTAAGGATTTCGAAACTTGACTTTAATAAAAGTACTAATCCTCATTTATATAGCATTTGACAGAGGACACTTTAAAGCTGTATCAAAAATTAAAAAACATTCGATTTTAACATCTGAAAAGGGAGAAGGGAAGGTCCCTTAAGGTATTTCGATCAGATTAATAATGTGAAGATAATATATCAGGATTCGAAATTGAGTCTATGATTGTTTAAGATTAGTTTATCAGAACTAGAACTGTTATGGTTCTATTGAAAAGTATCACGATCTCTTAACTTAAAATATATCGTACATTTGTTGTTTAAGTCGATAGATTTCATAGACAATTAAATTACTTTTAAATGTCTTCTTTTTTATTTTATTTAGAAATCAACGGTGCTGATGCAAATGAACCTCCAATGTTTTTTTATGCATTTGCTGGTGATTCGGGTAATTATAAAAATATTTCTTTTACTTCTCCTTTATCTTCATCATGGCAATATATAACATCATCACAAAAATCTATAACAATTCAAACAATGTTATTACAACGTGAACATCGTCCTAAGCATCGTTGTAATCGACGAAAAACATCTTGTGCAACAAAAACCCTTTCCTCACCTTCAAATTCTTAATAAAAAAAAAAAATCTCAAGAAAATTTTTTTCAATTTTTCTTTAATATATTTCATGCATGTGTTTGTATGTGTGTTCTAGCACCAACATATATCCCACGTAATTTTCGTGTAATGCAAGTAATGGATGCTACAACAGTACAGTTTGCATGGGAACCTCCACTGGGTGTTGATGAAGTTAATATTCGAGGCTTTCTTAAAGCTTATCAAGTTGTTTAATTTTAATTTTTTTTCCATTTATGCATGTTATGCATGTATATGTATGTAGATTGAAATGTTTCGACTTGATGATCCTGAAAATTCTCTACGTGTTATACCGAATATTTCACCAAATTTAACTTGGGCAACATTTTTTAATTCTCCAGCACATGGTGAGATTGGTGCTCGAATTCGTATCGAAACTGAACGTTATTTAGGACCAACAAGTCTTGTGGTATGCATTGACTTATAAAATAAAAAGTTATTAATACAAGTATTATGAGATTAAATTGCGAAAGGCAATGTAGCTATTCTACTTGTTAATCACAGAGGAATTGCTTTTTTGGGACACATGTCTTCATCATCTTTTTACTCAATCCTCCAGAAATGAGATATTATTGATATACGGTCTATGATCGTATATCAACAACGTCTTGTACAGAAAGAGGGAGTGAGTTCAAATTTCTACTCTATATACTTCAATATTCCTTCTAGATGATGTTTTACAAAATAATGTTAAAATTTCTTTCTTTTTTAGGTTCAGTTTGTGACAAGAGAAGGACGTCCAGGTCCAGTTACTAATTTACGTGGTGTACCATTTGCTGGTAATGGAATTTTTCTCTTTTGGGATCCACCTGATGAACCAAATGGTTATATAATTGGTTATCAAATTGATTATAGAACAATTGAAAGGTATTTATTATATTAATAAATAAATAAATAAATATTCAACCGAATTTCTATTTAGCATTGTTGCTCAACCAGGTCTTGATCAACCACCAATAATAATTCAAGATTTTAATCAACGAAGTTATCTTATTGGTGGACTTAAACCAAATACAAGATATCGTGTTCAAGTACGAGCACGTACTGTAGCTGGTCTTTCAACAAGTCCAGCTATGATTGAACTTACAACAAATTATAGTCTTGGTAAATATTTTAATTACAAAAACAAAAACAAAAATATTTTATCATAATTTCTTATTTTTGTTTTTCTTTTAAGTACCATCAAAACCAAAATTTGTTGTTACATATCGAGGAACAACATTCTTTAATGTTTCATTTGATCCAACCATAATGCATATTCCTGGTAGTCTTTATTATGTACAATATAAAGAAGATGAAAGAGGTTTGTATGAATCAAACATTTGACGAAGGAATTTACAAGGAGATTCCCGTAAGACTAGGAAAATCTTTAAAGCATGCGTGCCCATATGTCTCTCGAGCAGAGTTATGATAATTTTACTGAAGTTTTGATCTAGCTTTAGGCAGTCATTAAAGAATCAAATAATGAAATTGTACATATAAATAGATCTTATGATTCGTGAAATATTCTGAAAGTTTTAGCCGAAAAGAATGTTCCTTTGTCGAGATATAGAATTTCTAAAACATGGTCGTTTATTACAAAAGTCGAGTTTACTCGAATATTCAATATCTTGAGAAAGAAACATTCTTTTTGGCTGAAACTTTCAGGATATTTCTAGAGTCATCAGTCCTATCTATGAACAAAATTTCAGATCGAAATTTCGTTATTTGATTTTTCAGCAAATGTCTAAATCTGAATCATAAGTTTACTCGAGAGACTCATAAGTACGAATCCTTTTAAGATTTTTCTAGTATTACTCAGACATCCTTGTGAACCCAATGTGAGCTCACACGATGGGTATCAGCTCGGGTAGTTTTTTCGTTAGAATTCATCATATCAATTATGGATTTTTAGATGGTCAATCAATATTTAAACGAACATATGTTGTATCAAATGATCGTACTATTATTGTTAGTCCACTTGAACCAGGTAAAACATATATAACAATATTAGTTGCTGGTGATGGTATACGTGCTGAAACAAAAAGTGATCCTCAATCGATTACAACACTTGGCAAAGGTATGTTTAGAATAATTCTAATAGAATAATTTCAATAAATTTTATTTTAGATCGTCGTCCACGAGTTGTTGATTCACCTTGGTTTATTGGTCTTCTTATTGCATTAATTATTTTATTTATTGTTCTTATTGTTGTTTGTGCTCTTATGACACGTAAAGGTGGAAAATATTCAGGTAAATATTGAAATTATTTATTTGTTTTTTGTTTTTTTTACATTAATCATAAATTTTATTTTAGCATTGGATCAAGATGTACCACATGGTGTTGATGATGGCAAATTTGTTGATTATGATCGAGCGTATGTTTAAAATTGATTTATATTATAAATAAAAGAAAATTTGTTGGTTTCTGACTTTTTTTTTGTGTCTAGACCAAGTGACGCTTCAATGGGAGAATATGAGGATGATAAACGACGTACATATTTGGTTAAATATGGTGATGGTGTTGCTAGTGATGGTCAAAATGATGATCAAAAGAATTTTTCAACTGCTGTATAAATATATTAATCGAACTCTTTCTTTTTGTTTTTTGATGTCCATTGTAAATTAATCGTATTTTCATTTTTGAAAAACGAGTATTTTTCTTTCTTTAAATTCTGCATCAATGAATCTCGTTAAATACATACGCATAAGTGCAGAGTAAATTTCAGACTAAAAAATATAGTTCTAGTATGTTTTTTTGTTTATTTGATAGGTAATTAAGATTTTTTTTTTCTTCTCCAACACGGGTATCTTTGGCGTATGAACTTTTACTTTGGTCTTGTTCGTTTTTTTTTGATTGAATGTGAATTTGCTTTTGCTATATGTTATGTAAAAGTTTCTTTTTTTTTGTGTCTATACATTCCATTTAAAAACAAATATATTGCCATTAAACTTTCTCAGATGTTTAAAAGCACATTTTTTTTTCTCTTTATTTTTTTTTTCATACATGAAAATCTACAAAAAAAGATTTTGTGGAAAATGATTCAACAAATGAATAATCGATACTACATATATTGAAGATTTTCGTTTGAAGAATGTATAACTTTCGCATGTTCATTATTTTGTTAAAATATTTTCTGATTTTATGTTATATTTTATTTTGAATATTTTTTATAGTTAGCGTTATGAAAAATACTCGAAAGATGATGATAGTTTTGGAAAAAATTAGAAAACAAATTTAATCGATGTTCTGATTCATAAAAATATCGAAATGCACGCACGTGCGACATGCGAATGAGTCAAACTTCCAAATTCATGCTTTATGAAAGGAAGAATATCTCTGCTTTGAGTACTAGCGCCACAAGGAAAGGAGTAGAAGAAGGCGGCTGAGGCTCCTTGACCAAAAATTCTTACACCACCTCTACTGCCTTTCGGCTATCTTGCAGAATAGACTATTGCTCAAATGGAGGCAGTTTTGTAAGTTCAATATCTTCACTACAATTATGACTAACTGTATCTCTGGACAGAAGACTAACCGGATACTTAGAATTTACTAGCTCAATTGTTTGAGCTACCGATACACATTAACTAATGACCTACTAGTCACGAGAACTAGTGTATTTCACAACGTAGTCACCATGTTATCGGATCGATAATTTGAGATAATCAGTTGTTCATGACTTGCTCAAAGTCATTCCATGACTACTAGTAATGACATATGCGTGTTAAACATAATATTAACATCGGAATTTATTTATACTAATATGTATAAGCATTATTTAAATTTGAATTCGAGTAAAACTTTTAGAATTTAATAGTATTTGCAGAATACGATATTGTATAATATCATGTTTACTATTTGTGTATTTGTTTTAGAAAATTCTATTTTTTTAAAAATATTCATGATTTTAATGTATACTATGAATATATTTTCTTGGCTATGAATCTTTCTCAATGAGAATTCAAAATAAACTAAAGAATTAAGGTTATTTAAGCAAGTATATAAATAAAGTAAATTAGTTAACGCTTGTTATTTTGATGACATAAAGAAATTGTGCAAGAACATTTCAAATCAACTTCTTATTTAACTCGGTAAATAGAAGACATGATAATATTATTCGATTGCAGCTGCTCGATCGTAATTCACCAATAGAATTTCAATAAATTTCCTCTCTATAAAATGACGAATCAAATCAATCATTGATAAAGATTGGATTTCTAGTGATCCAATAATTAATCTATCTTCAAACACCGTCATTTTATTTATTCTAGAGTATTCATTTTTGATTCAGCTATTTCATTATTATTTTTTCTATAAATAAAATCTTTTTAGATTAAACACTTTTATCATCTAACATATAAACATCATGGAATATATGACGGATAGTATTGAACCAACCACGACTGCAGGCAAAATGTATGTGATTTAGTTTATTATGTTAATTTTTAATATTTAGTCTTGATTTCATTTAGTTTATGTTGTCAATGTGGTGTTTTAATTGAACCGAATGCACTTAATATGTGTCATGGCTGTATGCAAACTCAAATTGATATAACAGAACTTATTCCTAAACAAGGTCAATTACAAATGTGTAATAAATGTATTCGGTATATTTATATTTTAATTATTTTCTTTCCGTAATTATATTTTTCTTTTGTAAATAGTTATCTTCAACCTCCGAATACATGGATTAGTGCACAATTAGAATCACGAGAATTATTAACCGTTTGTTTAAAACGTATTAAAGGATTAAATAAAGACGTGAGTAAAATAGTTTTGAAAATTTCTATTAATTAATTAAATATTTTTAGGTAAGATTAATCGATGCTGGCTTTATTTGGACAGAACCTCATTCAAAACGAATAAAAGTTAAATTAACTGTTCAAAAAGAAGTTGCTCAAGGTGCTGTACTTCAACAAACATTTATTGTTGAATTTACAATATTTAATCAAATATGTGATGATTGTCAACGAGTTGAAGCTAAAGATTATTGGAAAGCACTTGTTCAAGTTCGACAAAAAGTTAGTTTATTTATTCTTTTGTCTTTTATTGAAAACAAAAAATATATATATATTCTATTTAGACTTCACATAAAAAAACATTTTTCTATCTTGAACAACTTTTACTTAAACATAATGCTCATGCAGATGCATCAAATATAAAACAAGTTAATGGTGGTTTAGATTTTTATTTTTCAGAACAAAATAGTTCAAGAAAATTAGTTGATTTTCTTATGTGTGTTGTACCATGCAGGTTAATTCATTTATTTATTTATTTATTATTATTTTTTTCTGTAATTAAATTTTTGATTTTAGATTTGAAACATCAAAACGTCTTATTTCACATGATATACACAGTAATATTTACAATTATAAATATACAACAGCTGTTGAAATTGTACCTGTTTGCAAAGTAAGAGAAAAATAAATTTAAACAAAAAAAAAACAAAAGATATTTCATATATATGTATATGTATATATCTTATATTAGGATGATATTGTATGTTTATCAAAGAAACAATCGAAACAATTAGGTAATATTGGCCCATTATGTATTTGTTCACGTGTTACACAGAATATTTATTTAATTGATCCAAAAACACTTAAAGGTAAGAGTAAGAAAAGATAATTCATTTTAATTTAATTATTTAATTTTAGTTGCACCAATTTCATCAAATGATTATTGGCGATCACCATTTACTGCTATATGTGATTCAAAACATCTTGTTGAATACATTGTTTGTGATGTTAATATTCTTGATGGAAATTCAAAACCTCATGTTTATGGAAAAGAATCACATAAGGTTTTGAAATTTAAATTTTTCATTATGTTGAGAAAAATTTTTCTTTTATTTTAGCATGTTCTTGCTGAAATATTCGTAATCAAAGCATCTGAAATTGGTATAGTTGATAAACAATATTCAACCATTAGTCATCTTGGTCATATTTTACATCCGGGCGATACAGTTATGGGGTATGAAGAAAATATTATAATGAACATTTTTTAATTTTCAATTTTCTTCTCTTTGATAAAATTAGATTCGATTTACAAAATACTAATGTTAGTGATACAAGTTTGGATCAATATGATATTGATCAACTAGCTGATGTGGTTAGTTTGTCTATTATTATCTCTTTGTTTTTCTATTTTCTATTTAAAAATTATATATATATAGATTCTTGTCAAGAAAGTTTATGCTGATAAAAGTGTTCGTAATCGACGACGTCAATGGAAATTAAAACATTTAGATGTTGAAGATGCAGGAAGTGTTAATAGTACCATTGAACGGTTTGTTAAATTTTTTTTTTTAAATCGATCTTGATTTAATTTCTTTATTTTCAGAGATTATACCGAATTTCTCGAAGATCTTGAAGAAGATCCTGTTTTAAGACAAAACGTTAATGTTTACCGAGGTAAACAAAAACATTATATTTTTGTAAAAACGACATTTTTTTTTCATTTCTTTAGACGAGAAAAAATTACAACAAACGTCAAATAATATCGATGATGTAACAGAAGATGATATACCTCATATAGAGCTTAATGAAATGTTAGCTGATATGACTATGGAAGATTCTGATAAAATGGATTCATAAAAGAATAAAATGGATTCATAAAAGAATAAAATAAAATAAAACGTTTTGTTTTTGTTTTTGTTTTAGATTTTCTTTTCTTTTTTTTTTGATTCACTTAATGTATATTCAATGACAACAACAAATAAAATTGAATTATATTTAGCAAATAATCTTGAGGAATTAAATAAACGTGCTGATGATAATCCATTTATTCAAAAAGCTAAATTATCAAATTGTACACAAATAACTCATGTTATTGAAACAACATGGGCTGAAGCTAAAAAAGCTGAATCAAGTTATGATGAAGAACGTGCTTATATTCTTTATATGAGATTATTCACTTGTTTTACTGCTTTGAAACAAGCAAAAGATATTGCCAATAATCAAGTAAGTAGAATATTGAGAAATTTTAAAAGTAATAAAATTTAATTTTTTTAATCAATAGAGTAGTGTACAATATTATCAAAAAGGTGCTTTGATTTGGTTGGAAAAAGCAGATCAATTATCAGCAAGTCTAAAAGCAAGGTAAACAATGACACATTTTCAAAACACGATCTAAAAAGAAGTGTTGAAGTATAAGGGTAGAAAATTGGATCTTCCACTCAGATCGTGACAGACACATGAGCAACATCCTCGATCCATTATAGACCATGATCAGATCCTACAAAAATGCAGTTGTATTATTACATCCTATTGATGTAACCTGAATGGCGATAGTGGGAAGGACGACTTCAGGTTGTAAGGCTTTGTATAGTGGCTTTGATCAGCGGAAGGCTCAGCTCTCTATAATTACGCCATTATTTCATCCCTCCAATCTTGAGTCGCTCGCGTGGAGTCTGTTCATGACAAATACTTTAGTATTACCACTCTCTACTCATTGTAATATATTATGGTTAACGTATACAGTGAATACCAAAATCATTCAAAAAGATCTATTTTCCACTGTCGTAAGTGTCAGAAAGAATCCAAATAGCGATTCGAATAGAGAAAATGGTGTCCAACGAGAATACAACGAAATATGAATTATTATCTGATTCACAAAGATAGAAGTTCTAGAAAATCAAAACTCTAGTTTTTCTACACCTAGAGCGCATAAATATATTTTTTTCGTGACTACATAGAACAATAGAGTGAACCTGCCGCTGCAAAATAACACATCGCTGAGTTCAAAAAAAAGGATTTTTCTACAAGAAATTAGAAAAAAAATGACTTCTAAGGCTTCCATAAGGTTGTTGTATCTCAGCTAAAAAGTATTGCAGAGAACTCTAGCAGAGTGTGAGGCTGGAGTGAGTGTGGGTGTAGATCTTCAACTACACCTCATGCACACATACGCCCACACCACACATTCTGATTGCTAATTTTCATATATATGCGAGAAAAAGAATATTTCAAGAGAGCGAGAGCTTTATTTAATTTTTAGCTTTTTTTTTTTAGAAACTTTTTCAATATGATAATTTTTCACGTTCGTAATCTATTAGAGCTTAAATGTCGGGAGGCTCAAATATTGAGACTCATCTATCGGCACTCAACTGTCAGTGTACCATCGCTTACGGTAGCAAAAAAAAACTGAAAATAAACATTGTTGAATAATTTTGGTATCGATTGTATCATCGTTGACATAAACTAGTTATGGGTAGTAATTCATAAATTGATGGATTTGTTGGCGAACTTCCTCATATACAACGTAAACAGGTCCATCTTGTTCCATATTTTAATTCCGAAAGAATTCTGTTAGTAGATTTTTTCTTTACTTTGAAATAGAATATTGATGATTTTTTTAGGTATGATGCAAAAAATGAAGCAAAACTTGAAGAAGAACGAAAAAAGCAAGCAGTTATTGAAGAAGAAAATTCTCGTAAGAGTTTTAGATTTATAAATTTTGAGTTGTTTTTTTTTTGTTTTTTTTGTTTTAATATTTTTTAATAGTTAAAAAATCAATCGTACCTAAATTACTTTATAAATATTTAAATGAGCGTAAAAAAAATATTTTATTAATTGATATGCGTTCAAAAGTTGATTATGATCAATCACATATGAAAACATCTGCTTGTATTCATATTCCAATTGATCTTATGAATGGCAAAGGGTATGACAAAAACAAAAAACAACAAAAATAATCTATAATTTGAATTATTTAATATATCCAATTTAATTTAGATGGACATCATGGGGTGTAGAATCAGCATTAACAGATCAAAATGCTTTGACAAAATTTAAACAACGTGCAAATTTTGATTATATTATTTTATTTGATGAAGATACTTATGAAAATAATTTAAAAGCTGGACATTGTTTAATGGGTTTAAAACAAGCTATATTTTCAGTTAAAAAATTTTTTTATTTTTTTTTATTTTATTAATTAAATATTCTTATAGTTTGATCGAGATATTAAACTTAAACATGAACCATTAATTCTTGATGGTGGTTACGAAGATTGGATGATATATTATCCAGGCGAGAGTACAGCACCATTAATTTCGAAAAAAAATATTGGAGAACTTCGATCATTTGGTAAGAGAATTATTTTTAATGATTATTATTCATAGTTTTTATGTTGAAGAGGTTTCCTATCCGGATGATGTCTATATATCGCAAGAAGTACCAAGTGATGCAGCAACTGCTGCTCAACCTGAAGCAGCGATCATTCCATCAGCTATTGTTCCACAAATTGATCGAACAAGAAAACCAATTAATCATCAAAAACCTGAATCATCTGTTATCGAACAACAACAACAGCAAGAATTACCAATTAAACAAGTAAGAATTTGATGTTTTATCATTAGTTTTGACGAATTGGTTTTTTTTTCTTGTTATAGGTAGAAGAACAACCAACACCAACACCAACACCGACAACACCAGTAGTAGTAACAAACGAACAACCAACATCAACACCAACACCACCAGTAGTATTAACAAAAGAACAACCTGAAATTCCAGATCGATCAATGAAACCATTACCACCATCAGCAGAGTTAGTTCTAATAAAAACATTTTAAGATTATCTTTTCGAAAGTGGACGCTCACTGACAGAATGTAAATGAGAACAAAAAAGAATCCATATTATTGAGGATATTTATGTACTGTTTTTATTGATTTTCTTCCTTTTTATCCGTCTAGTCTGTCTAGAGATGTAAGGTGACGCATTATTCGGCGACGGTAATTTGAAAGTTTTGATCCTTCTTTTAAAAATTTTTGTGATTCAGTCAAGTTTCAAAGTGAAAAATGAAGAAAATGATATTAGAATACGTAATAATAAGAAATTAGGCGTGGTCGGAATTTCATCAATAAGACTTTCCCCAGTCGGGAAACTCCAGGGAATGTGTTGACAAAAGTGAAGCTAGTATTCTTAGAATGTATGCATCATAGCTTACACTCTGGATCTGTTCGAATGGCGATGAGCCTGATAGATTTGATTTGGAAACATCATTCTTGTTTTTCTTTCCTTTTTTTTCCACGACACATAGGTTCGTAAACAAGAGACTTGGTTGTATCAACTAATGATCTTGTTTTAGGTGTGGACTAAAAAAAGGACTCACAGCTACAGCCACACCCTAGATTCGTTGGCAATGTTGTTCCTTCCGTAATCTGAAATCGTTATGCAACAGTAAAAGTTGTGACAGGCATTAATAGAACAGTTATTATCCGAAACGACATAGATGAACACAATCTATCAATTTAGTAGATAGGAATCTTTGTAATTCACAGTCAAATTGGCGAAATTCTGAAACCTTGAAACTAGACAAGAACGGAGACCAGAATTCTAGCCTACACAATTTTTGGGCCGGGCTGAAAGTCCTAAAGAAATCTCGATCGGTGACTTCATTAATCACTAAAATAAAAAAAACCTAATTTGCTTAATTAGTTATGAGATATCGTAGTGCCGGGTGGGATGACATAGCGCTGAGAGTGGGTGTGTAGGCGTTGATGTGAAGGTCCGAGATGTGAATACACGATGTATGATTGCTACTCCTAATATGAAAAGGATATACATTCTAAGCATTATGTTATCCTGCTCAGCATCACAATACCTTGCAACTCATTAAGCAAATTAGATTTTTTTATTTTAGAGCTCAATGAGGTCACCGACAGAGATTCCCTTAAGATTTTCGGTTCGGAGTCAAAATTCGATCCGAAATTCCTGTAACCTGACAAGAACATCCAAAATATCTCTCTATCGAGTTCATTTATCTTTCATAGATACAATATTTGTTTTATTTAAATTTTAATCGATTTATATCGATTTCTTATTTTAGACCTTCTTCATCAGTAAGTGAAGAATTGCCTATTACTCCAATAGTTCCAGATATCTCATTACGTCCTTCATCAGTCGCACCGATAATTTCCAATACTAATATTACTCCTGAAATTTCAAAACATCCAAAACCAATTGATACAAATGAAAATAAAAATGATTCAAATAGAGAAAATATTCCACCAAAAGAAACTTCAAAATTTTCTATACCAAATCGTGAAACACTTCCTATCTATCGTCCATTTAATCGAACTGTAAGTATTAATAATACAAATGAACAATATAAAAAAAAATTTGATGCTGTTACTGGTCGGTATGTTAAAATTTCGATTGAAATATTCATTTTTATTTTCCTTTGTTTTTTTTTGTCTTAGTAAAATAATTCTCGATACAAAAACTAATCAATACGTAACAGATATTCCAGAAAACGAAACAAATAAAATTTCTAATCAGATAACACCAACAATTAATCGTGAAACAAAACCAATCTTAACCGAACAAACACGTTATCAAATGGCATATGATTATCGTGCAATAGTTGATAATTTACAAATAAATTGTCGTGCTGGTTTAAAAAATCTAGGAAATTCATGTTATATGAATTCAATAATTCAATCTTTAAGTTTCAATTTTATATTAACAAATTACTTTCTAAAAGGTGATTTTTTTAAAGAAATAAATACAAAAAATAAATTTGGTTCAGGTGGATTAGTTGTTAAAGAATGGTTTAAATTAATGTATATGTTATGGTGTCAACAATATTCATATATTGCACCACAACCATTTAAATATGTTGTTGGAACACTTCAACATGCTTATTTAGGTACACAACAACAAGATGCACATGAATTTCTTGTTTTTTTACTTGATTCATTACATGAAGATCTTAATCAAGTATAAAAAATCAATAAGAATAAATAAAAAACAAAAATTTTTGTAATATTATTTTCATAGGCTACTCGTCCACGTTTTGAAGAACTTAAATCAGAAAATTATAAAAATGATCGGCAACTAGCTGAAGCAAGCAAACAAGCATTTCTTTCACATAATAAATCAATAATAATTGATCTTTTCTATGGTTTATTTAAATCAATTACAATATGTTTGTCATGTACATATAATTCTATTCGTTTTGATGCATTTGCAATAATAAGTGTACCTATTCCACCTGTTCGACAATGTTCATTGGATGATTGTTTAGATTTATTTCGAGAATTTGAACATTTAACAGGTGAAGAACGTTATGAATGTTCAAATTGTAAACGTTTATCAGCAAAAAAACGACGTCTAGATATTTGGGAATTACCAAAAATCTTTATTGTGCATTTTAAACGGTAATTATAACTAATATCGAATGATCTTCTAATGGCAGCAAAGTTTTAAGTATTTTATATGAGTTTTTCTTTTTTTTCCTATAAAGAAATGAGAGGAAGGTAAAAGTTCAAGAATTTTTTTAGAGCTTGTGTCGTAGTGAAGAAGAATCCAGTAATTATATCGAATTGATTATGATCAAAAAGAAAATAAACAGATTTAGATAACTGACGAAGGCATGCCTTCAAATAATTCAAGCTGTTTCTAATAGTATTTTGTTCATATGCCGGATACATTATTCTATGAAAAATTCTGAGAGGATTTACAAGACTTCTTTCGAAAGTTACGAATATTTTACTCGTTTTTCGACCTAGTACAAGATATTTATGGAAATATTGAATAGCAGATTTTCAGTTTGAAATTTTGCCCGCACACAGATCTCATGGGTAGTAAAACATTCTTAAATTTTTGCTAGACAAAAATGTTTCCTTGTTCTGGCGTTGAATTGTTAAGAAACTCAATCTTTCTGCACTTTATATATTATGCGACAATATTTGAAAATCAATATTTCAAGAAGGGAACATTTTTTCTCCAGTAAAACTTTTAGAATGTTCTACTAACCATGAGAACTGTGTATGGACGGAATTTCAAGCTGAAATTCTGGTTTTTTGAATATTTCCGTAAATACCTTGTACTAGGTCGGAGAACCAGTAAAATGATTATAACTTTCGAGAGAAGTCTTCAAGTAGTTGGGGACTTTCCATTGTGAGACATAGCAATTATGTCAACTTAAAACAGGAAGGAAAGGAATTGATTTGTGTTCGAGAATAGTTTTTAACGATGATCTTTGTTGGATTCTTTTATTTGATTTTACTGAATGTTTATTCGTTTTTTAGCCTCTTACAGAAGTTTGCAAAAACTGGAAAAGTATTGAGTTTGAATCAGAATTTTGTATTGTTTCTGAATATAGGTTCAACATTTCTTTCGAACTTTTAGAGGGGCTTAAATTAAGTTTGGATTAAAAAAATCATCGTTTTTTGCAGCAATAGTCTTCTTTACTGCATACATTATATTACCGATATTATTCTCTATAAATTGATATAATCAAAAGTTTTAGAAAAATCATTCAGGAATGACCGAGTTTACTTTGCAAGTCTGCTATCCATAAAAATTTATCTGAATTGATACGGGATCTCTTACCAAAATTCTCACTGTTGTCAAATGACTTACAGCAAACTAATCATTAATATACTATCTTGTAGAGAAATGTTTTTCTCTTTTATTTACTGTATTCGAAATAATTTTCATTTCTACTTCGGGTAAGTTTCAGTACGTTGAACTTCGTCCGAATTCAATAGTTTACGAATCTCGAAAAGATCAGTTCGTAACTCTGAAATCAGAAGTTTTACAAAAAAAAATTGAAGTCATAATCCAAAAGAACACAAAATTCTGATGCTAAACTAATGTTTTCAAATTTCTGCAAGCTCTTTTAAAAGGCTGAGAAATGAACAAACATTTTTTTTAAATTACTTTTCGATGATCTGTTATATTTCAATATTAGCGGGATTGATTTTTATCAATCATCGTTATTCTTATAGTCGTGCATTACAATCTTTATATCGTTCATTTATCAACTTGTGCATTTTGAGATGTGAATTCTTATTCTATGTGGTTTTATCAATTCTATTCAATTAAATAAAAGAATATTGAGCGTAGCGAAAAGATATAACTTCTATGCGAAAAAACAAAATCTTCATAATCTCTTATTAATGATCTAGATTGAGAGGAAAATCTATTTTTATGAATGTAGTTCGACTATTGCTAATTTCATTTAAATCAGTCCTGTGTTCTATTTCCAAATAGAAAAATTACATCTTCGACTGTTTATAAATAATTTTTTGTTTCTTTCTAGTTTTCGTCTTCAACAAACACATTATATAAAAAATGAAACTTTAATTCGATATCCGATATCAAATGTTGATTTTTCTGATTGGTCTCAAATACCATCACCATCAAAATATTCTCTTATATCTGTTGTAAATCATTTTGGTTCAATGAATAGTGGTCATTATACATCTTATTGTAATGATGGTAAACAATGGTATTATTGTGATGATCAATCAATTCGTGCAGCTGATGTACGTGAACTTGCACATAATGTTCATGCTTATCTTCTTTTTTATTCTTCAATACCACAACAGCAATTGCGTTTACCTTTAATTACAAATTAATATTTTTCGTTTTTTCGTTCTATCTAGTTCGGTGTTCAATTCTTTTTGTTTGATATTTATTTTAAAAAAGAAAAAATGAATGACATATGATTTTTCTTTTTCTTTTGTTATAAATTATTTTAGATATTTTTTTTTATAATAGAAATATGGCTGCAATAGTAGAAGATATACCAATTGCTATTCCTAAAGAGGTTTGCAAATTGATAGAGAGAGAAAAAAAACTATATGATTTATTTTGTTTATTTAATTTAAAAGGAGGATTCAGGTCGAATTATTCAACAAAGTTATGTTCTTTCATCACAATATGAATCACTTGATACTGATGATTTATATACAAAATATAAAGTTTGATTTTATTAGAAATGAAATGTCGATTGTTGTAGAATAAAAAAATTGTTTCTTTTTTTTTTATTTAGAAACTTCAACGGCAACTTGAATTCTTAGAAGTTCAAGAAGAATATGTTAAAACAGAATTAAAAAATTTAAAAAAAGAAATGTTACATGCACAAGAAGAAATAAAACGTATTCAAAGTGTACCACTTGTTATTGGACAATTTCTTGAAGCTGTTGATCAAAATACTGGGATTGTTGGTTCGACTACAGGTAATGAACAAAGATTGTTTTTTTTTGTTTAAATAAATTTCTAGACAAAATATTGCTTTATTTTTGGTTTATCTGATAGTAAATTAGAAGAGTAAGAGTATATGTCATAGTATCGAATTGACGAGACAATCTTCCCAAATGATAAATTACTTCTGAAGTGACTGTTACATCTTTAGATAGGCTCTATTATAATGAGAGAAAGTCTCAAAAGGATCCGTGTCCATGGATTTTTTGTCTTGAGTTATGGCTATTTTAATGACTTTTTCAATCAAATGTTCTGGTTCCTTCATAGATGATATTCGAAATTGACTTTGAAATTCAAACTGTGCAAAAATAAAGTTCTCAATAGAACTAGTTCGTGCTGAAAATATCAGTATTTTCTTCCTTTATCTTCCAAAGTTCGTCGGATCCAAAATTTTCGAACCTAGACCTGACGGTATAACCTATCGAGTCCGGATCTAAAAATTTAGAGTCGATCAGGTCCAGAAACTCTTGAACCCGATGGACTTCACTCGATCAACTCTAATATCTTCTATCCTAAGAGAGCAATATTCAAAAATCTGTTATGTGAAAAAGCAAACTTTGTTTTTATATCTTTATCTTAGGATAAGAAATGTTAGGAAATGTCATTTGAGCCAGACTACGACATTCAATTGAACAAAAAAAAGATTCACTAAAATGTTCATAATTCAAGAAGACAGACTATTTAGAACGAATCCTTTCAGACTATCTTTAGTCTCAATAGAACCTACCGAATGTGATAAGACTTACTTCAAAAGTGACTTATCGCTTGATAAGTTTGTTACTTTAATTTAAGGAAAGATTCTTTCAGAAAACCATTATTCAATTGATTGTAATCAATTAACAAATAAATTTAGGATCTTCGATATCCATTAATAGAAAAAAAACTTCATGTTTTTGACATTTTCCTCAGTCTTTCTAGAAGCAGAATTTTTTTATTATTGAAAATGACATTCTACATAGAAAATATCTATTGTTTATTTTCAGGTTCAAATTATTATGTACGAATTTTATCAACAATTGATCGAGAACTTTTAAAAGCTGGTGCTAGTGTTGCTTTACATAAACATTCAAATGCACTTGTTGATATTCTTCCACCGGAATCAGACAGTAGTATTTCCATGTTACAAGCTGGTATTATCAAATAATTCATTATGTTTTTTTTTAAATGTTTGTATTAATAATTTCTAGATGAAAAACCGGATGTTGATTATACGGATATTGGCGGGTTAGATTTACAAAAACAAGAAATTCGTGAAGCTGTTGAATTACCATTGACACATTTCGGTCAATTTTTTTAGATATTAAAAAATTTTTTTTTTTATTTATTTCGTCTTTTTGTTTTTATAGAATTATATAAATTAATTGGTATTGATCCACCACGGGGTGTACTCATGTATGGTCCTCCTGGTGAGTAATTTTTTATTTTAAATATTTTCTTTTCTGAAATTTTTATTCTCATAGGTTGTGGAAAAACAATGTTAGCTAAAGCTGTTGCTCGACATACAACTGGTTAGAAGATTTTCTTTTTTTATTTATATTCATTTTCTATTGATTGATGGTTTTTTTTTTGCAGCTTCATTTATTCGTGTAGTTGGTTCAGAATTTGTTCAAAAATATCTTGGTGAAGGTCCTCGAATGGTTCGAGATGTATTTCGTCTTGCAAAGGGTAATGAAAGTATTCAATATATCTCTTAATATTTAATAATATCTTATTAGAAAACTCTCCTGCTATTATTTTTATCGATGAAATTGATGCAATTGCTACAAAACGTTTCGATGCTCAAACAGGAGGTTAGGATTTTAAGTTCTATTATTTTATCATTCATCTAATTCCTTTTTTTTTTATTATAGCTGATCGTGAAGTACAACGTATTTTACTTGAATTACTCAATCAAATGGATGGTTTCGATCAGAGTATTAACGTTAAAGTAAATTATTCTTAAGGAGATCTTCCCTTCCGGAATTTCTGAAGAATAGCTTATTAGAAATATTTGAAACTTTCAGGATAGATAGATCTCTATCGCCTCGTTTTCTCAGTCGCATTACGTTCGAGAGAACTTGAATTTGTTTTTACAGATACTAGACACTGTTTGGAGTGCTTAGTTTTTATTTTTTGGTTTCTTTTGATCTCCTTCCATTCGAATAAAAAGATCAAAATACTGAATATATCTCCAAAAGGTACATGTTTTTTTTCACTAGAGCTTTCTTTGTGAACCTAAACAATGTCCAGTATCTGTAAGAAAAGTTCCAGCTCGATCGAATATACTATGTCGAAGAAACGGGGGAAGCGATTCTGCACTTTTTTATGTAAAAATTGATTTCAAGACAAATAAAAAATAAATTTTTCTGTATGTATCTGGACTTTCTTTCTGGAACTAAAGTGATCGAAAACTGCTCGTGTTCAGAGAGCGTTAGAGATCCATGATCCATGCTCTCAACACGTTTAGAAATTATAATTACGAGAATTTTACATACAAAAAATAATCGTAGCGCGAGTTTTTCTGCTAAGTGTTTCGCAAATTAGCTTTAATAAAATTACTAACTAACAACGAAGAGCCCTCATTGATATGACATGCGACAGAAGGCACTTCAAAGCTATACCAAAAGTCGAAAAAAAATTGATTGTAACATTCGGAAAGAACGAAAGATCCACAAAAATGAGATTTTATTATTTTTCTTTAAGGTTATAATGGCAACAAATCGTGCTGATACACTTGATCCAGCTCTTCTTCGTCCTGGTCGTTTAGATCGTAAAATAGAATTTCCTTTACCTGATCGACGACAAAAACGTTTAATTTTTTCAACTGTAACTAGTAAAATGAATTTAAGTGATGAAGTTGATTTAGAAGATTATGTTGCACGTCCTGATCGTATATCAGGTGCTGATATTAATTCAATTTGTCAAGAAGTATATAATATTTATATATGTTTATCGTATATATAAATTTTTTGTTTCTTTTTATCTAGGCTGGTATGCAAGCTGTACGTGAAAATCGTTATATTGTATTAGCAAAAGATTTTGAAAAAGCATATAAAAATGTTGTAAAGAAAAATGAACAAGATTTTGAATTTTATAAGTAATAAATCTGAAGAAACAAAAGATTGTCATAGTATGATGTTGGTTATAGGATTCATTCTCTTTTTTTTTTTTTATTTCAATGACCAAATATATTCTCGAAGAGATATTTTCAGTGTTCTCTTTCTTTGGTCTCTTTTTTTTACAACTAAATTCTTAGTTCTAGATTTTGTTCTTGTTGGTACTGAATTAGAGCATCAGAATGAAAGTTAAGCCGAAAACTACGGCAGCTAATGCTACCAATCGAATCAGTGCATTAGACAGGCTTAGTAAACCAACACCTAACAATAATAATAAGCGAATTCATCAACGTCTAAGTGCACCAACAAATCGTACAATTACAGATGCACGACAATTATTAACAAATCGAAATACACCTATGTTTGACGCTCGACAATTATTAAGTCGACAATCATCAAAAAATCTTAATACTTCTCTAATAATACGAAAAGATATCGTACAAGCTGAAGAAGAAGAAGAAGAGCAGGATGATGATGATGACGAACAAAACCCAGAAGTTATAAGTAGTTTTAACAATGTTCAAGTGAGATCAAACATAAATAAGTTTTAAGAAAAACAAAAATTTGTTTCTTCTTTTCTAGCTTGTTTCCAGAACTCCAAATCTTTCATTCGAAAAGAAGAATAATAATACTTTTGTAGCTTTACAGAATTCCAATTCAACTGAATCAATTTCTTTTACAAAAGTAAAAGTCTATTTTCATTTTTCGTTTTTGTTTTTTCAGACAATCAGTAATATTTCCTTATTTTGAAAGACAATCACAAATACATTATTCCAACATGAAAATGATAATCGTCAGTTTCAAACATCCAATACTCAATTATCTTCGTCTGATAAAAAACTTGCTATTAGTTTTGTAAAAGATCAATATCGTAAAAGACCTAAATCGCCATCTCCACGTTCGTTATCACCTCCTCCAATAATCAGACGTTTACATGATGCTTCTATTCAAACAGCACATTCATCATCATTATCATTATCTCGATCACCAGTTCGAAGTAATTCTCATCGACGACATTTAGATGAATATGATGATCATTATGAACCTCCAATAAAACGTAATTCTTCACGAAATACAACAATAGACAAAGAACAACAAGCTCTATCGACAGTATTAAAAAATTCTTCAAAACGAACATCAACAAATGCATCTGATAACATACGAGTAAATTTTAATAATTGTATGATTTTAATTTTTTTATAATTTTATTTTAGACAAAACGAAATTCATCAATACAATCAAATTCAGATGCTCGAACAGTTTTAGTAACAAATCTTCAATCATCAGTTACAGAAGATGATGTTGTTGTATGAAATATTCTTTTCTTATTTCAAATATCTATTTATTTATATTAATTTAATTTAGGAATTATTTAGTGAAGTTGGTCATATTAATGAAATAATAACATTAAGTCGTGGTTGTGTTCAAGTTACTTATTCAAAACGAGAATATGCTGAAGAAGCAGTTGCTAAATATCATAATCGATTATTAGATGGACAATTGATTTATGTTAGTCTTCAACAAACATCTTCTCATTCAACAAAATCATCGAAAAATTCTTCTTTATCACGATATTCCAAAGACAATAGGTATAATAAAAAAAAACATACAATAATTCATTCTTTTCTATTTTATTTTCTTATTATTTAATATTTATATATTACATAGTTCATCACAATCAATTAATGATAATGAATATTTAAAATCAAATTCAAATAAAATTATTATTGATCCAACATTTATGCGACAAGCACTGTTTAATTCGTCCAATAATACGACAAATCCTGTACAATTTCAAGTTAAACTTTAAAATAGAAAACTTTATTTCTTTTAAATGAACTATTTATAAATGTATTTTCTTCGAATTTAATCTATTGCTTCTTTATTTATATAAGAGTACATTAGAACGAAAAATAATTACTTAAATTTAGTTTTTTTCTTAAAACGAAAATTTATTTATCACTTAACCCATTGATTATGAGATTTTTGGCAAGATGGCAAAAAATATCAATTTGCTCGTTGAAGTCCAAAGTCGAGTATATGTATCAAAGAAAAACAGTCGATTATGTTAGACTTCAACTAGCATCATAAAATTTAATACTTGCAGAGTCGAACAGAGTTGTTCAAAACCTTGCGAAATCCTTCATCCAGCTCAATGGGTAATCCTATAGTCCCATATCATAATATACGTCGATCTAATAAAATGAACGTCTTGTCTGCTGTACGATTAGAACTGCAACAGGTAATCATCACTTTCTATGCAGTTTTACGAATTTCTGTTTAGCTTCACTAAGCTTTGAAAAATTTGGCTTGAGAAAGCATCTATGAATTCTTGTCGACCTATAAAGTCACAACTCCTTCTTTTTCCATTTGATATATATGTATAGTGATATCATATAATGATACGGTGATACTAAAAGCATAAAGGAAAATGGAAAATACTCTATGACTAACGAAAAACAGCGAGGATAGAAAAATTTATAATCTGCATAAAAGTTCAGCTAGTGTCTATGCGAGTTCCTTAATCAAAGGATTGAAAGTTTTCGATTTGTACAGATGATTTTAAATGGAGTAGCGTCGTCTATTGACTTTACTTTGTATTCAGTTATATCCGAACGCTTAAGATGGAACGTTTTCAACTGATCAATCGCTTTTAAATTAGAACTCAGTGTATAAGGTAGACTTCGGTATGATATGAACAACCTCAAAAGAATAAGTTTCCTTAGATGTTCTCTTCAGAGTTAGAGGCATTTCTCTGGAATTTTAGCCTTCGGACAGGGTAAATACCAATAAATGGAATGTCGATATTTGGCCTATAGATAGATCTATTTGTCAGCAGAATGTTTTGAAAATTTCACTCATAATTAGACCTGTCTGTAGGCAAAATCTCAGGTCAAAATACCGTCATTTGATTTGTTGGTATGTATCATGCCCAAGGCTAAAGTTCTAGTAAAATATCTATAACTCTGGAGAGAAGGTCTAAAGGGATGTATCCTTTTAAGATTTTCATAGCCCACAGGATTCTAATTTATGCATTGAGCCCAAATTTGATCAATTGAGAACATTCTCTCGTTAGAATCTCATATATTGTATCAGTTTAAGTGATTTGAACATGTAGATTTTCTTTGTGAGAAGTTATTTCAAAAGATAAGATCGATCAATTTACATTCATAATTCTATTAAAATAAATATGTATGACATTGATATAAGCTATGATATTCAAGTATAATATAAAATAATTTAATTTTTTTTTCTACGTATTACTCAAAAATAAAAATTGATTAAAAAGAAAATATCTTAAATGAATAAATTTCTATCTAATTAAATAAAATGAAGAAAAATTCTAATTTAATTAATTAATTTTTATAGTTCAATTATGTTTATGAAATATTTTAATCAAGACGTGAAAGTGATGATGATCGAGTTGTTAAACTCGTATCATACATATCATTATCACCCAATTGAAGCCAATTTTTACTTCCATCTAAATTTGTTGTTCCTGTATCTGGAAATGTACTACTAATATTTCCAGCAATTCCAACATTGGGACTAATAGTACGCAGTTGTTGATAAGTTGAAGGAACATCACGATCTTCAATTCCACCTGATCGAATAGTTGATGATGTTGTTGTAAAAGTTGTTGCTCCACCATGTTGAGTTGTAACAGTTGATGTTGGATTAATTGTTGATTTTTTCATAAGTTCATCAAGTAATCGAGAATAAATTCTAAGTTCATCTTCAATACTAAATCTTAATTCAAATGCCATTTGTTCAAAACGTCCACGTAAATCATCATATTCATATTTAAGTTTTTCAACAAGTGATTTTTCATGAAATTGTTTATCACGAATTTTTCTTTCAATTTCGTGTAATTTTGCTTCTTCATCACGTAATAAACGACGTTTATCGGATAATAATTTTGTTAATTCATTTAAACGAATTTGTTCTTTATCATAGTCCTAGAAATAATAAAAATAAATATAAGAACTGTTATGTTTTTTTTCGTATTACATACTTCCATGCTTGTACGCAATTTAGTTTCTTCAATTTGCATACGATTTCTTTCAGATTCTTGCATTGAACCATCAATTAAACCAGATGGTTGTTGTTTAAGTTGATTTTCAACCATACGTAATTGTCCTTCAATTTGATATTCAAGTTCATCTTGAAATTTTTTTGCTTGTTTAGAATAATCACGTTTAATATCTCGTATAGCATTTGTTAATTCTTCTTTATAAAATGATATTGAATCATCTTTTGATTGATCTAATAAACGTTTCCATTCATTAATTTCTTCATCATTTAATGCATTTATTAAATTAATACGTTCACGTAATGATTGTATATCATCTAATAATGTTTGTTTATCAACAACAATACGAAGCCAATCTTGTAAACGTTCACGAAATTTTTTTACTTCATTTATTACATCATCACGTGTTGTTGAAACTTCTTCATCACTTAGACGTTGACGTTGATTAATACGATTAAATTCTTCTTGTAATTTATCAATAAGATTACGTAAATTTTCTTGTTTACGTTTATACATTTCTTGAATATTACTATATAAAGTAGCTGCACGATTAATTATTGCAGATTCTTGTTCAGCAGCACGTGAAGATACTTCATCATTAGCACGTTTAGCAGCACGATTATTAATTTGATTTATTATTTGTCGTAATTCATTTTCATCACGTGGTAAAATTCCCCATTTAGAAAATTCATCTTTTAATTGTGCTTGTAATTGTTCATTAATTCGTTTTAATTGTTCAATATTAGCAAGAAAATGTGCAAAACGATCATTTAAATAACGTAATTCTTCTTTTTCTTTTATATCACGATCACGTTCACGTTGAACAAGTTCCATTGATTTACCAACACCATCAGGAGTACCTGTTGCCGAACGACCTGTTGTACCAACATCAAATTCAAATTTCAATACACGTTTCTCCATTGCTAGTTCGATTAAAGAATAATATGAAACTATCGAAAAGAATATGCCTAATATAGATTTGAAGGTACCTTTTTTTTTCTCTTTTTCTTTTTAGTTCTAATGATAATTTAATGAACCATCAATGTTAGTGGTTTCTATTATAAATAGGAAAAAGTAAAAGAAACCGCATTTGATAGTTTCACAATAGCATGATTATTTTCAAGTTAGATATATTTTTTTATAGCTGAAATATAAAGACTTATAATGAAAAAGAAAAAAAAAAAGAAAACTGTTAATGTCAATTTGTATACATAATTTAATCCTATTCATCGCATATCATTCGACAGTAGTAGCTGTTGTTTTTGCTTTACTAGTTCGAAAAAATCGAGTCAATTTTGATCGTGATGTATTTTCTTCTTCTGGATCCTCGAAGATCTATTTAATTCAGATAAATTTTTTCAAAAAACAAAAAATAAATAAACTATAAAAAAATCATACTTGATTAAAGTTACTTGAATTTTGTAAAGCACGTTTAGCTAAATATTTTTCTCGTCGAATTTTTATTGAAAGTGATTCAGGTATATCATCAATAATAGCATCCGTTAAACGGCATAAAACAAAAACAATATGCTATTTAATAATATACAATAAGTAATATCCAAAAAAAAAAAAAGAATATTTACTTCAAATAAAATTACAAAAAATAATCGAAGAGCAAGTAATTTCCAAAAAAATACTGTTAGAATACCATTTGGATCTCGAAAATCACGATACCTAATAACAAATGAATTGTTTAATGAACACTTAAAACTACTACATACATGCATTCTATTGATGTAGTATTCATCGGTGCTTGAGCTAATGTAAACTTTGTGTAACCAATTAATTCCCAATTGATTGTATATTGATAAAGAATTTTCGGTAAAAATTCTGAAGTAAACGCAATTATAAAAGCCTAGAGGAAATAACAAATTAATTTTTTTTTCCAGAAAATAAATCCTTTCTGAATTGTTATTACATTAGCTACAATAGCTAAATAAGCAAGAATTTGAAGAATATTAAACCATATACCAATTGTTGATGAACGAAAAGCAATTGGACGTCTATTTATAAATGAAAATTTTTTGTTCATAATTATGAAATGATTAACTAAAAAATAAAACAACGAACCTTGTTTCACAAACAAGTTTTTTTGCATCAAGTCGAATTTCGATCCAATTATTAAATAATGCAAATAATGGAGCAAGTGGAAAAGCAGCAACAAATATTGTTATAAAACCAAATTGTAAAACTAAATTTCGAAAGAATAAAAATTTACAAAATTAAATAATTATTTCTTTTACCCATTTCAAGATATTCTTGAAATAAACCACCGAATTCACTATATTTAAAATCATCTTCCCATTGAGTTGTACATTTTGTTTTTGGTATTGATACTTGCCAACGTTGATATAAAACAAGAATTTTCCTATCAATATTCTTTTGTTAGATAAATCAATATAAAAATTAGTGAACTTACGGCCACATTACTTCTTGAATATTTGACATTGCTTGTTTACCTAGAAAAACTATTTATCATATCATTAAATAAAACATATTATCACCTATCATTATGATTGCTAATTGTATTGCTAATTCCATCAGACAACCTCCTTGACCACACTAAGAATAAACAAATATGCCAGTAAAATTCTAATAAATATACTTTTACTATAAACAAGAAAAAAATGTTGTGTGTTTTTAATCGAATGTTTTCATTCATAAATTTAACGATGTCGCATTGTAAACAATGCGATCATTTCTCTTTGGTTGTTTGATTTTCGAAAAAATAATTTATCTAATAAGGAAATCGTCGCAAGTAATTCAAAGTATTTATTTTGCTCAAGAATGAAATCCAATAAAAATGGAAAAAATCCTAAAATGATACAGACTTATAGGCGTTTTTCTCGAGAAATAACTATTCTACTAGGTTTACCAAAGAATTATCTTACAGAATTTTGATGTGAAATTTCTCTCCCGTGCAAATCTTATGACCCTGATAGCATCATAGATGCTGCAGCCAAAATGAATGGTTCTTTCTTGAAAACTTAATATTTCAAGAAAGAAGCATTTGTTTAGGCAGCGACATTTATATTACTATCAAGGTCATATGACCTGTATGTGAATGAAATTTCACATCGAAATTCTATAATATTATTCTTAATAAATCAAAGTAAATTGTCATAGCATTTTAGGTTTTTCGTAGTTTCATTGAATTCTAATTATGATAAAAATATTAGCGCACAAGCATTGAATTAAACTGATGAGTTTTGAATGGAGCCATGTAAATTCAATCAAATAAATTGTTTTCAAATTTCTTTCTTTATTACACAAATTTCTAGAGTAAAATAGTTACATATTTCAAGATACTTTTAATTAAAATATTTCGATAATAAAACGGATAGGAAAGAAATCATGACAGATAAATTATTTCTCATTTAAGATAATATCAATTCTTACTTCTTCTTGTCGTAAACCTAATATTGTCACATAATGTCCAGGATAACCAACAGCTCTAAATAATATTTTTATTTTTATATTTCCACACAAAAGATTCAATACTTACTTTCCTTTAACGAAAGCTATATAAAAAATAGATGAATAAATATTAATAAATTGAAAAATAAAAACTTTTATTGTAAAATTATTATCAAAATCAGTTTGTGTACGATGCATTTCTAGAAACAACAAAACTTTGAAAATCGAATTCATTTTTATCGTTAAATCAACAAACCCCATTGTGTTAATTTATAAGCAATAATTTCATATAATCGACCTAATACCATAATAATAATTAAATTAATCACAGCTCCACTAATCGATGCAACACTAAGTGCATATTGTCTAAAACACAAAAAAATACACAATAATTTTAAATCAAAAAGGATTCTGTCGGACAAGATGATCACCTTTCATTTGAAAAGCTACCTGTATCGTTTTGTAGAGCAAACTCATGATTAGGCTTCTACCGAGCTCGAGCCTAGACCTAGCAGGTCAGGCTCGGTTGGACTTGACTCAGTCAGAGCCTAAACTAGTTTTCGAAAGATTCGTATAGGGCATGACGGAATTATTATTAATAGAGCGAAAATTTTTTATTCAAAAAGTATTTATCGCAAAACTCTTATACTTGTCTATCCTTAGAAATTAAAAAATTGACCTTGTTTAGGTATTGATTGATTAATTTGACTATAACGCACACCAACTCAGAGGACAATTAATTGATATACTTCTAGAGCTTGATGGCACACAATTTCTAAGAAAGTTGAACGGTTGATCACTTTTACCCTCAGGAGGAATATCGAACAATTTAAAACATCATAAAAGCCAAAAATTATAGAAGCTAGTAAAACTGTTAAAGTTTTGGGTATGAAGAAAGCTAATGTAAGAATTATTCGATATACACGATTGAACGTCAGACAAAACTCTATTAAGATAACTTTAAAAAATTGATATAGGTTGGTTTAGAGTCATATTCAATCCTAATAATTGATAATACCCCTTAACTAGTATATGGCTTCTCAAATCATTAAAACTTGATGAAAAAGCAATTTCCTATATATCATTCAATACGTCATGAATTGCTCTACAAAACAATATGTAGGCAACTTTTTCAAATGAAAGAGGCTCATCTTATCTGACAAGGCCCTTTATTTAATTATTTTTCATTTCTACCGTAAATCTTGACTTCGAAATAATGGAATACTAATAATTATTCGGTAGATAATTATTGCTACGATAAATATAATAACCATACAAATCTTAAATTAATCAAAACCAATAATCATATTAAGAAAAAACAAAAGTAATGATGTTTGTTTACCATGACACTAAGAATTATAATACCAGATAAAATACGATATCGACGCGTTGCTGCTGGAAAATAAGGTTCAAGAATTCCTGTAACAGGATTTTTTTCAACTGTTGATGCGCGTATTACAAATTCGGGTCGAGGTCGATTCTTATTAAATCAAAACAAAAACAAAATTTAATCTTTTTTTAAAACAAGAAAACATTACTTCTTCTTCTTCAAATTCCATTAAATCCCATCGATGTGTTATTGCAGTATTTTTCTGCTTCCAACGTTTGAGAAAAGTAACCGCTAGATGATTTCAAAAAAACAAATTCCAGTAATCAATTTTGGTATTCTTTCTTTTACCCCAAAAAGACATAAATATTGCATAAAAAACAGTTCCTGGATGATCGACAAATACACCAAGACGTGCATATGAACATATATCCGAAAGTTGCCAATAGGGACACTAAAATGAAGTTTACAATATTTGTATATTTTAATGTTACTTGTGGATGAAAAACATATGTGAGAGGAATAGATAAATTTTGCAAAAAAAGATTTGACTGTAGTAAACAAAATTTTTTAGTATTGTTCTGTTTCTCATTAGGTAATCTTAAAAATAATACTTTCCAATATCGATTGAGATTTTATATTTGTTTTAGCGGTTGTTTATTATTCAGTGAATTTAAGTTGATATTTCGGAATTTCAAAAAACAAATGCCTTTGACTGGAACTGATTGGAAAGGTATTGAAAGATGATTTAAATTGATAAGAAAATTCCAAAAGTCGATAAAACTCAGACACAGTATATCAGAACGGAAAGTCTTCGGATTTTTCCGGTGGCTTTCAGTTGTTTGCCAGTGGAAAGAATAAGAAATTCGTCGGAAGTTACAGGAAAAAAAAACTCAAAACACTCCGCTGCGGAATACCATATGGAAGGTTCATTGATTTCTGTTTGTCTGCCTACCGGAACCTTCTCAAGTACTTTTATCTGAGAAAGAATGATTCATGAATGTATATTTTTCGATTATTGTCATCCATATAGATATATCATATATAACTTACAATGAATTTAAATTATTATTTTATAAAACATACATTTAAATCAATAATAATGTTTGTCTAAATAGACGATCTCTAGAGCGACGAAAGTTTTAACTGGTACGAATAGATTTGAATGTTTGACGTT